CGTAGAGCAGTTCATGGGAAAGTGAAACAAGAGTGCCATATAACAGCACAATGCAACTCAATCAGGATACTAACACCTTCTTCAGGAAAACAGAAGACTTTCAAATGCGAGTGCGAATTCTGCCCACAGATAGGTGCACGGCGTATACCCGAGCAGGCGTTTTCCCATAAAAACGCCTCCTCTGTCAGCGGCCGTGAAGCAGACAAACTTTCTGAAGAGATTTCGATGCTTTCAAATCAAATCCTAAGCGCAACAAAGTGTAGCGAATTGCTGAATTGAATTCTAGAGACCACTTAGAAAATTGAGGCAGAACGAAGAATTCAGGAAAGTTTCACGTTTATGAAGTACTCTTCGAGTGGATTCCAACAATCTTTACCGCTTCTCATCATTAATTTTAAAGGAAGTTATGGGCCTTTGAAGACTGCATAGTCGCGGTCCAGGAAAATGGCTTGAAAAAAATCAAGGTGGAAAAAACGGAACAACGGGACTATTTTTTGAGCGAGTGATTATTTTAAAAAGTTTTAGCACTTATTCGAAAGCTCTAATCTTCTAGTTTCTAATTAGCCTTAGACATCTGCAAAAAGTTGATATGAAGAAAGTTATGAATGTTTGAATGTCGAAAACTCGCGTGTGCACAAAAAACGGAACAACGGGACGATTTTTTGAAATATTGAACATTCGTAACATTTCAAATACTTTTTAGGAAGAAAACTATTTGAATTTTTGAAAATTTTGGTGTCCGGTTCCATGAGACCGCTTCTGAAGAAAAATATAACCTTCTGAATGGAAGGGGTTTGTATTGCAACGTAATTGCTACAAGGTTTAGTTATTCAGATTATAAAAGAAGAAGAATCGAGAGAGTTCGTTAAAAAAACATGGTGGGTTTTCGAAGTGGAAAATCATTACCTATGCTGCTGATTTAAGTGCAAACTTTTCAAATTCTATCTATTTAATGAATTAAAAACGTCCGTTGGCCCTCGCTGGGCGAGACAGTGCGCGCAGATTGACCATGGTCCACCGCTTCTCTATGTTGGTGACTGTAAACACATCACTGATGAGCATTAAATTATGTTAAAGACACAATAGTTATACGGGGGTCGTACCGATACCCTCCGAAAAGGAAGGGGTGTCGTAAAAATTTTTGGATTTTGCGCAACGCAGGGTCGACCCTGATATACAGGGGGGGGGCGGGGAGCAAAAACGAGTCACTCTCATTCACATTCAAAACAGGATTAATTACACTTTGCCAAAACCAAACCGAATGAGCTCAATTGCATATTGAAGAGCACATTCTATTCTATCAAAAATTACATAGGGGCTTTCTACACCGACGACATCAGAAGATTTTCCCACGGAAACATGGTTCACGGTACGAGCTCAACGAGAAACCATAGACGATTACGACGTCTCTGAAACGCTGGTCAAAAGCCATTTGCATAGTCAGAGCTAGTGTCCCTAAGAAGCCATTCACCAGTTATCCGATTGAAGAAATTTATGTAGCAGCTTCAGAATGGAGCGATTATGGTAGGCCTCCTGATGACAGATGACGTCATATTCTGGAGACGGTGAAGGCAGCGAAGGTGGGCCTGATTCTGCTTATGGGGGACATCTAAGGAATATTCGCGCACAATAACAACGGCATCCTTTGCGAAAAAAAAGTTCGATGCGCATGAGCAAAGTGACTTTTTTGGGCCCCCTGTACACTCACATGACAAAATACTAACTATGTGAATTTGAGGAGAAGAAAAACGGGCAAGGATGGGGCTCCGTTTCACAAGTTCTTTGCCGTTCTCATGATTTTTCTTTCACCCCGGCACAATTGATCGCCTCTACACTGCGTTGCAAAAATATAAATCCACCTGGAAAGTTCTTGAAAATTCGCATGATAGGGTGTTTCTGAAAAAGCCTTTGAAAGAAAAATGTGCTCAATATAAATATAATTTCGAGTGTAAACACCAACTTCCATTTCGAAAACACGAAAATTTTTTATTTTCATTTTTCAGAAAAGGGCCACTTTGCCGATTGTGCAAAAATATAAATCCACCCCATGTTTCTCGGTTGAACTTCATTGTTATTTGGCGTAACTGTCAGGTTGTTTCCACTTCCTCTTTCTTAGGTGATGACGGAAGTAACACCGCTGTCGGGCTCAGAAAAAAGGCGAAATCTACAAAATAGTGGGGAGATTTGCCGTGCGTGATTTGAGCCCCGTTAACACGTTGACGACATCGCGTGTTTTGGCATTTTGCACCGCGTGGGACAGGAGCGATTTTGCGAGCGCGCCGTCCTCACCTTACTTCCGCTTATTTTTTGTTTAAAATGCACAACAACTTGAATCTCATAGAATTATTTCGGCAAGGATGAAAGCATAAAGGTTAACTATATAAATAGCAGTAGATTTTTGTTTAGAAGAACGCATAATGACCACGAAGAAGCAAAAAACATCACTTTCGCTGCGAATGAAGTTAAAAGCATTTATACTAAGTTTTTCCATCAAATACAAATATCTTGAAACTCACAGAGTTTTGTATTAACTGCTTCTACAATCTTTCATATGAATGTTACGACAGTGAAAGGAATACTAGGAAAGAATTGAAATGAAAGTTTTGTGCGTTCAGAAAATCTTTGCTAAATCAAGGATATTTGACCACTCTGGCTGCCATGTGGTTTATAGTTATGCTAATGTATTATCTATAGAATGAATACAAAAAACTCGAGAAGAAGGAGCGCAAGCACAATAAAAATGAATGACATAGTTCTGACGCGCATGCGCGTCAGCCTGTCGTCAACGTGTTAAAGTGGTTGTTATGCATTTCGTCAGGAACTCTGCAGCATGTGGAATCCAGAAGAGCATTGAACCCTTTTCTTCGCGTTTCAGTTGCGATGACCGTAGTGTTATGGGAAAAGCAGCCGATTCTCCCAAGGGGTGCTCAGGAACTCAACCTTCAAAAAAACCTAATTTCTTGAAAGTCACCGTTTGGCGTGTGTTAGAAGAACTCTGAGACCACTCTTCGACGGAAAATGAGTATGGCACAGTTGAAGACACAAAGCCATCCCAAAAATCAAGCCAACTCTTCCATAATGTGTGCATGCTGCGCCAGCTGCATTAAGTTCGGCTTTCTACACGCTACTTCTGAATTTCTCTCAGTTTTTTTTCTGCAGTGTGTTTGGCAGAGACAGGAACTCATATTGAAAAAGGAAACCAGTAAGAAAAGTGAAGACAGCCATCAAAAGGTACTGCGCGGCCAATATGGCCTCGCTCCGGCCAGATCGACCACTGATCTTGGGAAACTTGGCTTGATTTTTGCGATGATTCCGGATTTTTAAATGTGTCCTACTCATTTTCCGTTGAACAGTGGTCTCAGAGTTCCTCTAACACACGCCAACGGTGTCTTTCAAGAAATTAGGTTTTTTTGAAGGTTGAGTTCCTGAGCACCCCTTGGGAGAATCGGCTGCTTTTCCCATAACACTACGGTCATCGCAACTGAAACGCGAAGAAAAGGGTTCAGTGCTCTTCTGGATTCCACATGCTGCAGAGATTCTTGACGAAATGCTTAACAACCACGTTAACGGGGCTCAAATCACGCGCGATTTGACTGCACGGCAAATCTCCCCACTTTTTGCAGATTTTGCCTTTTTTTCTGAGCCCGACAGCGGTGTTACTTCCGTCATCACCTAAGAAAGAGGAAGTGGAAACAACCTGACAGTTACGCCAAATAACAATGAAGTTCAACCGAGAAACATGGGGTGGATTTATATTTTTGCACAATCGGCAAAGTGGCCCTTTTCTGAAAAATGAAAATAAAAAATTTTCGTGTTTTCGAAATGGAAGTTGGTGTTTACACTCGAAATTATATTTATATTGAGCACATTTTTCTTTCAAAGGCTTTTTCAGAAACACCCTATCATGCGAATTTTCAAGAACTTTCCAGGTGGATTTATATTTTTGCAACGCAGTGTATTCAATGGTAATGAGCTGCCTTCTTAATCGTCAACTACGCCTTCAATCACTTCATCGTCACACATCAGCTTCACACCTTACGGCAGGGCCACCTATCCGTTGGACCAGTCCATCGTAGGGGGTCGAACTTGGCCGACGGAAGCAATGTGTGGAATGATGAAATGTAACACAGATGCAAATGAAGTCCTAGGCGCAGGCTTACAGCATTAAGCGATAAAAATCAATAAAATTAATGGCTTTATATATGATTAAACTTTCTATTTGTAAAATTAAAACTGTTTTTGTTTTTTTCGATCTCAATATTTTTATGTGTGTTTTATTCAAAATTTATTTAGGGGGTGGGATTCAAAGAGTAGTTTAGTCTCCGTTTCGCACGTGCCCTTAGACGGAGACTAAACGAAAGAGTATCCTCTCCCTGTGCTCATCAGTAAGGGAGGAGAGGTATAAAGAATTTGACTTTACATTATTGTAGTATTATTAAATAAAATTTTCAAAAGTTGTTAGCGTGAATGAATTATTGAAGTATTTGAATAATTTCAAGCCGCCGTGGAATTTCTGAAGTTACGAAAGTTACTCTATATGTAGGGTTCTCGGAACAATTATGATTAGTACCAATACGCACAGCCTGTTCTCTCCTAACACGATATGTTGAGCTGGTAGTCCAATGGAAAGCTGAGCATATTCGACTGACTGCGCTAGGGGGATGGGGGGGCAAGATAAATTTGTTAGGGGATGAGCAATAGGTAAAATAAGTTTCTTCCAATGAAATACTATCCTTAAAGAAGTCCCCAGTCTGTAAAACATCTTACAACAAAACGCTCAAAACTGTGATTGGTTCTATCTCTCTCCCCCCAACACAAACAGGATTTCCTCTTTTCATTTCGATTCTCGCCGTCTGAATTAACCGCCATACTACTTGCGTGAACGACAAAACTGGGAATGATCGAAAACATAGCAGGCTTCGTGAGCACATTGAAAATAAAATAACCCTACGAATATAAACAGAAAAAAAGTTCCATATCACTGGTTATGGAAATACCTGCACAACAGCTTTGTTTCGTGTTATTTCGAGAACTTGTCCAGACCGCTTAGATCCATCGGGCAGTGTTATGTGCACAATTTCGTTGAATTGCGGGAACTTGACATCGTTGAGGATGACCAGAGGTCCATTCACACCCGTCACGGTCTTATAAACAACTAAATACATGTGTAAATAGACGAACATTAAACATGAGAAAGCAAGAAATGCAATAAAAATAGTTGCAACACCTATCCGTGTCTCAAACAGTCTGCTACACCAAGAACGTATCGCTACATCTCTCAAGTAAGCGCATAGGCCTTAAGAGCCATTGGTGATAGATCCGGAATCACTTTCTGTTTCATTTTTTGTCTACTACGAAGAGAAAATCGATATCTTCAAACAGGATGGTCTAGTTGCCCACATCAAAGCAGCATTGAGCAGGATCTAGCAAAAGGACATTGCTCCCGTACGTAATAAACTCCAAGAAGGTTGTGGAGTCAGGACGGACGCCAATACGGGATCTATCGATAACTCCGCCCTAGGCTTTGCAACCATTGAAATATGAGACAGTTATGTACGTGTGAAGGCAAAGAACTAAGTTCAGCGTACTGAGTCGTGGCTGAGTATTGTAGTTTCGGATCGTCGCTGTCTTGTGCGAAGTGATGCTCTTATTTACGTCCACCGTTGCCATTGCTGCAAGTAGATAATAAAATGACACTAATGGGTATTCACTTGGGCGGATGAGACGAAAATGGGTTAGAAAATAGTATGCAGGGTGCAGCTCATGTAAACATAACACTCTAAGAAGAGCTTCACGAACAATTCGCACTGATGTAGAATTGCGAAAAAAAAAACAAGAGAAAAGGACCCAGAGAACCCTCCGAGTGTAACTCAATGGGCAGTCACTTTCCAAACTTTTAAACTGCACTTATTCAGAGATTTTTGTTGATGTCCCATAAAGCTTGCTTTACGAGGACGCACTCCTCGAAAAGATAACAATCACGGAACCCGACCCTTCTTCTGAGTATACGCATAGAGCACCAGTGCGCTTGCAAAGGGAAGCTTATCGATCGGGAGCAAGCTGCGAAGGAAAATGGAGGAGAATGAAAAGAAGACAGGAAGGCGCAACTTTGTAGGAAATAAAATGGCTCTTGAGGCAATTCCGAAAAATTATGTGACGAGGATGTTTATATTATTTCAAATGTAGGATTCGTCTAGTGGGATGATGATCTCTACTACGACATATACACTTCAGCACACAACGCCCTGATAATCCATTGCTCATAAATCATAGAATGATCCCATAATAATAGAAAAATCCTAGTTTCAGCATGAGGAGTTACACCTCGACGAAGACAGTCAATCAAAAGAAGCACTATTTTTCACAACTGTTGCCTAGGAAGTACACGTACAACGAATCAATCCCTAACTTCATGGAAGAAGACTAAAACACTAGAAAACGGACGAAATATCTGCAAACTATGGAACGTACTCTAAACGAACAATGAAAAGACGAAAGGCCAAAACCAAAGAGCAGACTACCGTTTCCTGCACGTTGTTGCTGGAGCGCACTTACTGAGATTCGCCAGGGTAGCAGCTACTCAATTTGTGATAATACAAGTGCCACTTTCTCGAGAAATGAATTTGTGAACTATCGACTGTGTGTATCTCGATGGTTTAGATATTCTAGTGCAGATATCATCATGCTTTGATAGCTCAGCTACCATATTACAGTCGATATCCGAAAGTTGGGGTGGGTGTGTCACCGGAAGTGACGTGCACTTGATAGAAGTGCGTGGATAAGCTGTTGCCAGCATGCTTTGCTGATAGCCAGCGATGTATGTTGGAAGCAGCTTATCCACATAGTTTCTATCAAGTGCACGTCACTTCCGGTGACACGCCTACCCCAACTCACCGATATCGAGTATACGTCTATTGTCCCTCAGTAAATTCTGTCGCAATATGCAGACTTCGGTGAAAGTCACAATTGCCATTTTTAGGTGCCTTGGGGGTTTTTTCTTGGGCCTTCGATGTCCATGCAAATTCAAAACCACATCCCCCTGTTAGGAGTCGTGTGAATGATTATTTGGTCGGAAGGACAGATCCTTAGATCCCTACAGGACAATCACAGATGTGGCATTTCCGGGCCCCGAGTAGGGCCAACCGTCACGGTTTGGAACACAATTTCAAAAATTTTGCTCTCCCCCTCCCTTTGGAGAATGTTCTTGAAACGACTCCCCCCCTCCACAGTCACTTATTCATGCTGCTACACGATAGGAAAGGCCAGGATTTTTATAATAATGAAGGGCGGAAGTGGTGTAGTGACAAGTGGCGCGCTTACCACGCGAGCGGTCCGGGGATCAAATCCTGGGTCGTGAGTCGCCCGGGCCAACCAAGCCTTCCATCCCTCCGGGGTCGGTTAATTGGTACCAGACTTGTCTGGGAGGATAAAAACACTGACTTGTACATCGGCTGGCCCCGCAAGTCATTGTATAGGCCACATCGCATTCAAATGCCACTGCGAATGTACAAATGGAAGTAGAATGCGTGCCGCATCCCAAAAGGGATTGATCAACGGCAAATGCTTTATCCTTTATCCTTTAAGTGCAATCTATAGAAAATACAAGACGCATAGTCTGAATACGAACACAAGTCATTAGTAACTGAACAGGATTGTCTTAGTTTGGATGGCGTTTGCCTGGAAAGATAATGAGCTTTCACTGCTTGGCTTTTAGAATCACAAAAAAATATTTCCATTTCGATACACAAGCACATGTCAGAAAATAAATAAAAATAATATTCGTTAAGGTTTGAATTGCAAACAGTGCATGCGCATTCAAGCCATGAGAGGTCTACTGCAGAGGTGTACGAAATTGAAGGACGGCGCGTCCCGCTTGCATTCCCTGGGGCAGCAATCTTTCCCCCGCCTGGGCGAGGATAACATAACACAGATTACAAATTTTTAAATGCGTGCAATTCAATTCGTTACCAATATTTTTCAAGAAGTTAAGTGGATTTATAATCTGCGAGGCTACCAGCTTCAGAATACTGTTGGGATTGTGTTCTTTGAAACCTTGTTGGTTATCTCTGTCACCCATCGTCCCGTTGATCATCGAATTGCTCGTGCGGGCGGCGACAATGTCTCCATTCGTCCCTGTCGCGTGCAAGAGTTGTCCAGTGGACCCTCCTCGCTCGAGGGACACGGAGTCCATCATTCCTTTCGTTCAGAGCTTTCGTGAAGAAGTCTGACCATCGGGCCGGCGGTCGTCCAGGTGTTCGTTTGACGTCCCGAGGGATCCAGTCGGTAACCGCTCTGGTCCAACGGTCATCGCAAAATCGCATGACGTGTCCGGCCCACCTTATCTTCGATTCCTTGGCGAAAACGGCAGCGTCCCTGATCTTCGATCGTTGGCGTAGTTCGGCACTCCGGATTCCCCTCTGCACTTGCGTGTATAGGGTTACTCCTAGCATCGTCCTCTCGACAGCGCGTTGGATAACGCTGACCGCATGCTCGTCCTGCCTGCGCAGAGTCCAAGTCTCTGAGGCGTAGGTTAGGGCAGGAAGGACAGCGGAATCGAAGAGGTGGGCACGGAGCCGGATGTTCTTCGTCTTCTTCACTACTCCCTCGATGTTCTTGTACGCTCCCCAAGCCGCTCGTTTCCTCCTGCTCAGCTCTGGAGCTAGGTCGTTCATCATATTGATTTCCCGACCTAGGTACACGTAGCTGGAGCATTCGGTAATAGAAAGAAGTGAATGGCAAATGTCTGGTCGAAAAATTGCTGTAGAGCTCACGAAGAATCTCTATGTAGTGGGTAGGAACGCCCTGGTTGCCCAAGGCTTCGATGACCGCTTCTGTCTCTCACAGAGTCGAAGGCCTTCTTCAAGTCGATGAACGTGAGACAAAGCGGCATCTTGTACTCTCGTGAAACTTCAATGAGTCTTGTAACCGTGTGGATATGGTCGATCGTGCTGAACCCTCTTCGGAACCCTGCTTGCTCGCATGGCTGTCCTTCATCTAGTATTCTGCCGATCCTGTTGGGATGACTCGGTGAATAGTTTACAGATTACGGGTGCTGTACGATTCTTCCGACTTGATGACATGTCGGACTACAGAAGAGAGAACTGAGGGTACGACGGATCTATCTCTTGCAGATGATGCTCCATAATCAATGTATAGAGGATGATACTCCATAACCAGCAAGGCTTCTCTCGTTGGCTAAGTAGAGAATCACGAATTTACAGAAACGCACACTTTTCCACTTGAAGGGTCATGACATTTTTCATACAAGAAAGTGTGAGGAGTGGTAAAAAAAATTTAGCAGCTGTAGATTGCCTTCTCTATAAGAAATATCCGATCAGTAAATTTACCCCGTTAAACCTTTTTTTTGCACGACGGGTTTTTTCTGGCTTAATGACTATAATCTTCTTCTTCTTATTCTTTAGCGTCTGTCCCGCTTGTAGGCGGGGTCCGCTTTTCTGATGTGTTGACGCCACTTTTCCCGATTAAATGCTTGATCGGGGTGGATGTTAACGCTCTTCAAGTCTTCGTGCAACGTGTCGAGCCATCGCTGCTTCGGGCGTCCTCTAGGCCGCTTTCCGGCACGTCAAGGTTGAGACCGATCTTACGGACACTGTCCTCATTCGCGCGAAGAACATGTCCATACCATCGGAGACGGGCTTGTCCAGCGGAGCATCTTTGTCTCCATCACACCGAGACGGGCTTCAACTTCTTTGGTCGCAGGCCAGCACTCAGCACCGTAAATGGCGACCGGCCGGATGACGGTTCTATAGATCTTGGATTTGAGACGCTCAGGTATGTTCTTATCGCAGAGAACGCCAGTCATCGAGCGCCATTTCAACCAGGCTGCATTCACGCGAGAATTCGTTTCAGAACCAGGCTGCCGTCAGACGCAATTGCTGATCCAAGATACTTGAATGTTGTTGTACGTGTGAGCTCAGTACCATTGATCTTAATAGAGCCTGGCTCACTCGGATCGGTGGTCAAGTACTCTGTCTTTTTGACATTCAACCTGAGTCCGAACATAGCTAGACGGTCGGACCAGGTTTGCACCTGTTGCTCAAGCGTGCTTTTATCTTCGCTAGCGAGCATCACGTCATCAGCATAAAGAAGCGTCCATGGTACCGGCTTCTGGAGATCTTTTGTAATGGCATCCATGACGACAACAAATAGGAGTGGGGATAACGCAGAGCCTTGGTGTACTCCGACAGAGATGGGAAAATCCGTCGATGTGCCTGCTGCCGTTTGCACTCGGCTCTTTGGACTCGAGTACAGGATGCGCACCCACTCAATAAGCTCTTCGGGAACGCCATGCTGTCGTAAAGCATACCATATAACGTCACGTGGAACGCGATCGAAAGCCTTCTCCAAGTCTAGAAAGGCAAGATGTATCGGCTTTTGTTTTTCGCGATGCTTTTCTAGCAGAAGGCGAGCGGCGTGTATGGCATCGATGGTGCTGCAACCAGCAACAAAACCACACTGGTTGGTGGTCAGCTCGACGATGTCACGGATACGACTGTCTACAATTCGCTCAAAGATTTTCATGCTATGCGAGAGCAGGCGAATTGGACGGTAGCTAGTGCAGTCCGCAGGACTGCCCTTTTTCTTCCAGATTGGAATCGTCGTGCTCTGTTGCCAGCTCTCAGGCACCTTCTTCTCTGCAACGACCTGGT